TACCGGGGAATCGAACTTGGGTCCTTGCACTTCCTTTTTTTTTTCCTTCTTCTTTTTTGTTTTTTTTGAGACAGGGTCTCACCATGTAGTTGAGACTGACCTGGAACTCACTATGTAGCCCAGGCTGGTCTCGAACTCACAGTGATCCTCCTGCCTCAGCCTCCCGAGTGCTGGGATGACAGGCTTGTGCCACCACACCCGGCAGTCCTTGCACTTTTGAAGCAGGCAGCAGAACTACTGAACCCCATCAGTATAGCTATATACAGCCCATGTACAGATATGTAGAGATATAGACATAGACGGAATTCACATTTGTGTAGCCGCTCAGAGCAGCTGGGTCTAAGTGCGTAGCTGCCTGGCCATTTAAGCAGAATTTGGTGCCAAGAAGCCCCGCCAGCACGAGACAGGGAAAGGCCGAGGGCCAGGAGGGGGTGCTGGGCAGCACGGGAGGCAGGAGTGCAGGGACAGGGACCCAGCAGGGGTCCCCAGCCCCAGGGCACTGGTGCCTAGGTAGGAGGCATGAGGCCCAGCACAGAGAGGACACCTGACCCCACCCTCCCTGTGCCCCAAAGCCCGAGCTTCCCTGCCCAGGGGCCCGATTACAAGCAATAAAAGCTAAAGGCTGCTCATTGCCCACTCTAAATGGGACGAGCTGCTTCTGGGTACGCCTGTCTGTGTTTGCTGAAGTGCGCTTTTTCATCTGAGTCACTTCTTCTTTCTGTGTCCCCGCTGGGTCACACATCATGGGCGGTCCACAGCGACCCTTTACACTGCCCCAAGATCCAGCTTTCCTTTCTCTGCTCCATGGACTCCCTCTGTACAGGAGCTGCTTTTTTCTTTTTCTGTCGTTTTCTGTCGTTGTTGTTTGAATTTTGTTTTTGAGACCGGGTCTCGCTAACGTAGCACAGGCTGGCCTCGAAGTCATGCAACCCTTCTGCCTCAGCCTCCTGAGTGCTAGTACAGGCGTGTGCCATAATGCCCAGTTTGTGTACATTTCTGTGGAAGTCACCCAGGCACAAACATAGCTTGGATGAGAACATTTTCTATGCCAACTTTAATACATTCATCTTTTTCTTTTTGTTGCTTTTTTAGGCAAAACTCACTCTGTAGTTTAGGCTGGCCTCGAACTCGCTATGTAGCCCAGGTTGGCCCCGAATTCCAGGCGATCCTCCTGCCTCAGCTTCCCCAGTGCTGGCATAACAGGCGTGCGCCACCACATCCTGCTAAGAATATAACACCTTTTCACGCTAGTCTCCATTTTGAACTGAACCCTAAGCAGTCTAATCTACTTTTTGCCTCGTGCATAGTCTTCCTGTATAAAAGGTTCATTCCCAAGGTACAAAGAAACTTGTACTGAAAGAAAGAAGTAACAATTGGACTTGTTTCTTACTGAGTTTTTATCGTGGTTTCTTTGGAGGGACTTTTTTTTTTTAAGTCTTTTTGTGGTACTGGGGCTGGAACCCAGGGCCTTCACACTGAGCAACAATCCGAACCTTTTTTATTTCTCATTTTGAGACAGAGTCTGGCTAATCACTAAAGTTGCCCCGGCTGGGCCTGAACGCGTGATCCTCCTGCCTCATCTCGCCAGGGAGCAGCTCCGAGCAGGGGGCCGCGCGCATGCGCATTGGGCGGTTACCTGCGGGGAGGCGGGTACGGGCTGGGCTGCAGCCGCCGGGGGTCGCAGAGTCACGGACGCGGGCGAGTCCGCTCCTCCCTCGGAATTCTGCATGCTCCTTCTAGAGAGAGGGAGAGACGGGTGTGGGCGAGGGCGGCAGGACCCGGGATCGCCTCATTCTCCAGAGGCCCAGTGCGAAGACACCAGGGGGGCGGAGGTGCGCCCGGGGCTCGACCTCCCGCAACCTCCCGCACAAGAGCAAAACCCAGCCCCGCGTGCACTCCTCCAGCCGTGGCGGCCCCGCTCTCCATGTCGGACCAGGCTGGACTATCCTGAGGGGACAGGACAACTCTTGACTCCCCGTCTCGCAGCAAGCCAACACTCCGGGAGGGTGGCTGTCACTTCCCGAAGCACACATTTTGCCACACCAGTGGCATTTAGGGCTGGATTTTTGTTTGTTTTTGTTTTTGTGTTTTTGAGACAGGGTCTCACTACGAGTTCAGGCTGGCCTCGAACTTGCGGCCATCCTCCTGCCTCAGCCTCCTGTGTTCTGGATCACAGGCAGGCACCATCACCCCGGGCTGCACGCTGCATGCTTTCGTCATGTAGCTCAATAGGGCGCCCTGCAACATCCCTAATCTCTGCCCACTCGATGCCAGGAGCGCCCCCCCAAACACACACACACACACACACACACACACACACACACACACAAGTGCGAATGTCCAGAGACCGCAGAGTCATGGGAGGCAGAGTCACCAGGGTACTAGGCAGACGACCCTCGGAGAGACCAAAGAAACGGCACATTCTCTCTGGGGTAGAATGGGCACCCTCAGGGATTTCTGGAGAAATCAAAACCTTCTGCTTCTGGAGATCTGTGCCCAAGGACACACAAAAGTCTACTGCTTTTGCTGTCAGATACACACAGCTTTCAAAAAGAGAGCTGTATTTCTATTTTTTCGTTGCAGTGCTGGGGATGGAACCCAGGGCCTCTGCACCGAGCTACAGCCCCTGCCTTTAAAAAGAAAAAAAAAAAAAAAGTTTTATGTTGAGAAAGGGTCTCGCTAAATCACTAAAGTGCCCAGCCTAGGCTTTTACTTGCGATCCTCCTGCCTCAGCCTGCCAGAGTGCTGGGAGGACGGGCTCGAGCACTGCACCCAGCTGTCTTCGTGACCGGTAACAGAGTAAATGGATTTTCCTAAAGGCAGCGGGAAGGGGTGCGCGCGTGTGAACCCACGTCTGCTGGTGTGATCTCGTTGATTTGGGGAGACAATTTTCTGACTTCCGATCCGCCCTGGGCCCATGTCTGCACGTTTTTTGCGGCCAGCGTGAGCCTGGCGCGTCGACCACTGGATGGCGCCGGAGCCACGCGCACCGCCTGAGCCTGAAGCCCGCGTCGCCAGCTCGTCCAGCCTCCCATGGGCTCCGCAGCTGAGTCAGGGAGGCGTTTGCTCCAGGCCTGAGGTCTCGCTCTTCTCTGAACGCTTCTATCAGGTGTCTGCGCGGCTTTGTGCGGCTAAGTGAGGTGACGACGTGAGCGGGGCTGCAGGAGAGCGCTGGGTCACAAGAGCCCATGAGCGCCGAGGGAGGCGCGGCGCGGCCAGGCCGACTTGCGCTCTAGGTGCAGCTTACTCTGTGTCACAGGTCCGTCCTTTGGCCTCCTCCCTTCCTCCCTTTCTTTGCGGTACTGGGGACAGAAACGAGGGTCTTCGCACTGAGCGGCAGCCTGTGACCCCGAGGCCAGAGCGCTGGGGCCAGCCTCACAGGATTTCTGGAGGAAGGAGAAGCAGAGGGGAGCTCCCAGATCCACTCAAATTTCTGGGGTGTTTGTTTGTTTGTTTTGAGACAGGGTCTCACTATGTAGCTAGATTGCCCTGGAACTCACTATGTAGCCCAGGCTGGTCTAGAATTCACAGCGATCCTCTTGCCTCAGCCTCCTGGGTGCCGGGATGACAGGCGTGCGCCACCATTCCTGGCCACTCAAATTTCTGATCAATTGGCTGAACCTCACAGGTATGGGAGAGACCCTGGGGCCTCAGAAAAAAACAGCTCCATGCCAACAGACCTCCTTAGAGACTGGCCAAAGATTTCTCTCAGTCGCATCGCACCTGCCTCACAAGCACAAGGTTCTGAATTCCATCGCCGGTACCAGAAAGAAAAAAAGGAAGAAAGGAAGAAAGGAAAGAAATAGGAGATTTCAGCAGCTGCCCATGCTGGTGACAGCATTAGGCTCGAGTGGTGTAGCTGCCTTAAAATGGCGCAGCACAGCTGTCACAGGGCCCAGGAAAGCTCAGCTCTTGTGTTCTAAGACGGAACAGGAAGATGCAGCTTGTGTTCAAGAGAAAACCAGGGCTCATTCTCATCAAACTCAGGGTAATCCTGATGATTTGGACAGCGCACAAGCAGGAGCAGCTACCAGGAGTAGGTTCTGGCGGGGAAAGGCAAGTGTGTCCTCAATGAATGGACAGGGGAACCTCAACCAAGAAACAGGAACTATTAGAAAGGACCCCATCGCACTGGTGTCGTGGTGCACACCTGTCATCCCAGGCCCGGGGAGGCTGAGGCAGGAGGGTCCTGGGCTCAAGGCCAGCTTGGGCTACACAGCCAGTTTGAGGTGAGCTTGTTACACGGCAAGACTAAATAAAATAAAATGACCCAACAGAAATGTAGAAATTCTGGATAGTAAAATCTCAACACATTTCCAAAGACAAGCCACACAGAAAGAAGATGCACATACTTTGAACGTAAAGGATTAAAGCGTCTATAGGATGACCTGAAAAACCCCAAGTATATGAAAATTTTTAAGTATTCTATGAAAACTACCCATAGGTCAAAGACTAATAGTAACTTTTTGGGAGGGTTTTTTTATTAATAAATTTTATTTTATTTTATCCCACCTCCCCCAAAGCAAAAAATTAACTGCGAGGGAAATGTTAAGGTTTTTGAAGTGAACAATCCTGAAAACAGTATGTGCTAAAACTGGTTATTACTTAACAAACACATACTGAGTTAAAAAATATTGTGAGACGCATTGAAAGCAGTGCTTAGGGACAATGGTTGATTTTATATTAGAAAAAATGCAAAAGAACCAAGCATCTAAGTTTTCGACTTTAAAAAGCTATTTTAAAAAGGGCAGGTGTGCTGGTTCATGCCTGTAATCCCAGCGCTCTAAGAGGATGAGGCAGGAGGGAGCATAAACTGGAGCCCAGCCTGGGCAACACACTGGCTTAGCAAAACCCTGTCTGAAAATAAAAACTAAAAGATAGCCTGGGGACGGAGCTCAGTGAACCCAGGCCCTGGGTTCAAGTCTCAGTGCTAGCGGTAAAAAGCCATTAAAGAGTAAGCAAACGAAACTCAACTTATATAGAAAAAAAGAAAAACAATAACAAAACAAAACAAGAAAAATTTCATAACAGAAACGAAAAGAATTTCTTCAGAATAAAAGCGAGCTATTGAGTCATGCAAAGCTCTGGAGGAAAATGAAGCACTTATTATGCATGGAATGAAGCCAGAGGCTGCACAGTAATATGATTCCAGCTGTCCGATTTCTGGAAAAGGAAAAACCACGGAGAGAGCAGACCGGAAGTTGTCAAAGGTTACAGGGAGGGCATAGGGGACTTCTAGGACAGTGAACTACTCTTTATGACACTGTAATGGTGGATTCAGGTCATTGAGCAACTGTCCAAACCTGCAGAATATAAACGTGGTGGCCCACACCTGTCATCCCAGCACTGTTGGGAGGCTGAGGCAGGAGCATCACAAGTTCGAGGCCAGCCTGCGCAATTTAGCAACTTAGTGAGACCCCGTCTCCAAAGAGAAAATAAAAATAAAAAGGGCTATGTGTGCGGCTAAGTGTGATGACCTCGGGTTCAATCTCCACACAGAATAAGGAAGGAAGGAAGGGATCATGAAAAGATAAGCCATAATCTAGGAGAAAATATTTGCAAAACACATCTGAAAAAGTGCTCTTATTATAGTA